GACCCACTGTTGGACCTAGGGAGGCACCAGTTATCCCTAATACACGACTCCATGGTGTTGGGGGGTAGGGCGGGGGGTACTTCCACAACATTGGGTTTCTGACAGAACAGAAGAAAGAGAAAACGGAAGCTAAATGAGGAATCAATACAACCTCTCTGGTAGCTAAATCTGTAAGAAGTTTAATAAATCTTAATAAAAGTGGCTCCAAACCTACTCCTAAAATCCTGATTATAAAAACAAAAGGCTCTTCCTTCTCAAGAGATTGTCCAGCCTTTTTGTCGAGTGTAACATGAAAAAGAACAGAAAAGAAAAAGAAAAGAAAAACCCTATACATCTTAGGGATGTAGTTCTGAACCCATTCAACTTCAAACCTAAGAAATTTCTCACTCACTATCTGTAGATTAGATATTTTGGCTCCTTTTAATCACTGTATCTTCACCACAGAGAAAGTTAAGTGGATTAATGGTCAATATGAAGGCTTACTGAGAACATAAAAAAATATGGTTCGTCTCAAAAGATAAGAAAAACATTTATAGCTTACTGTCACCTATGATTTTTTCTAATGTTACAGCTACCAATCCTCATATTTTTTGGATCCCATGTATGTATTCTATAAGATGTTTAAATAGTCTAACATCTTGCTACTCAAAATATATCCTTGGACCAGCTGCATCAATGTCATTTGAGAGCTTGTTTGAAATGCAAAATCTCAGGTCCTCCCCAAACCTACAGAATCTGCTTTTAAAACAATTCCCAAGAGGTTCATATGAACACTAACGTTTGAGAAGTTCTACTATAAGGTATGTTTAGTTGCTGCCTTGGCTCCCGGTGCCTGCAGAATACATATACATAATATGAAATCTGGCAACTATAGTATACTATAACCCACTTCGCTTTAGCTTGGAACTTGAGGAACCAAGATATTCATATTGTGGACTTAGAAAACAAAATTCTTTCTCATCTCTCTGTTCCATTCATCCAAATATCAAGATTCCATTTAAACTCATTGACTTATACATGAAGGATGCCAGAAAAATATCTGATCCTTTCTTCTCATCACATTAAAACTGTCTGGACCTTTGGACATGGGTTTGATGGTACACAGTGGAAGACTGAAGATCGGAACTTGCTTGGAGTCATTTAGATAAATGCTGGCACTGTTTTCACCAAATATGAATTTGGGGCAATATGGAGGCCAACCCAGGGTTTGTGCCCAGTAAATACCCCCATGTTAAAATTTTTAGGTGATAATAAGGCTAAAGTTACAGACTGAAGTTTGCTCCTATGGTTTAATCGTTTGGACGTGTACGGTATGTTCAGGCTTATCTGCCCCACATTTAGCACACTCCCCTTTTCTTGGCATTTCTCTCATTTCCTCGAAAAGCCTTTTCTGGAGAAACTTCAGATCAGAAGCCAAAGAAAATGCAGCTCAATTTGCCCTGCTCCCCATGGAGCTCCCAATGACTGAAGGCTTTCATTCCCTTCTCTCTCACATTAATTCTGGCCATGTGTTAGTCACCATCAGTGTTTCCCTGGGTTTCACGATGAGAGAGCAACGAATCTGCTGGGCTAGTCTAGACTAAGCAGGCTGTGCTTGGTTTTCATGGGCATTTGTTTTGCTTTGCTTTATTTGTGGTTGTAGTTGTTTTGCTTCAGTGCACTCTATTGATGAAAAATACAACCAGAGATATGTAAAGGAATGATCAAATCTTACCAATGTAAGGTCTAGAAATATACAGTCCCCAACACCTTATCTCCCCACCTTTGCACTTCACCTGTTCTTTGTCAACCTCTCTTCCCACACCCACAGCTTTCACACTACTTCATTTTTCTCCTGCACTCAGGTCTATTCCTACTGCCTTTCCTCCTTGTCCCCTGCTTCATAGAGAAATTTGAGGCTTCCAGGTGAGAAGTCTTTTGGCTTCTGACCCACACTCTCTAACTTCTACAGGTCCCTACCTTAACTTCCTTTCCCCAGTCGCTTCATATCCCATTTCCGGTTCCAGGCTCATCCCTTAACCTCGACCCTTGATCCGTTCTGTAGTCGGTTGAATGGTGGTCCCTAAAAAAGATATGTCCATGTCCTAATCCCTGGAACAGTGACTGTTACCTTTTTTTGGAAAAAGGATCTTCAAAGATGTGATTAAGTGAGTGAACTTGAGATGAGAAGACAATCCTAGATTATTCATGTGGTCCCTAAATTCAATGACAAGTGTCCTTGTAAGAGAAAGGCAGAGGGAGGCTGGAAATAGAAGAGGAGATGACACAAACACACTGAGGATAAGGCATTGTAAAGATGGTGGCAACCACTGAGTGATGAGGCCATAAGTCAAAGAATGCTAAGGAAAGGTGGCAAACTGGAAGAGGCCAGGCAGGGCTCTCCCTGGTCCCCCAGGCTACAGAGAGAGGCGGGCCTGCCAACACCTTGATTTCAGACCTCTGGCTTCTAGAACTATCAAACAATACATTTCTGTTGTTTTAAGCCACCAAGTTCTTGGTAATTTGTTATGGCAACCATAGGAACCTAACATACCTTCCTTGCCAGAGGCAGATCTTGCTGTAGCAATTAGTTCTTTCTCCTACATTTTCAGTCTTCTACTGCCCCTTTTCCTTTCGCCATACATCTTTGCAACTTTCTTCTATCTTTATATATATATATATATATATATATATATATATATATGTGTATAAATACATACACAGAGGGTGCCAAAAAATGTATATACATTTTAAAAAAGGAAAAAACTGTATTAATTGTAATACTCAATATATACTGATAACAAAAGATAATAGAAGTCACGTTTGACTTCTGCAATTACAAGAGGTGCTCAAAATGGTTCCCATCAGCGTCCAGACACTTCTGATTGCAGTGAACTACTGCTTGAGCATAGATAACATCTCTTAAAATGTGTACACATTTTTTGGCACCCCCAGCATATATACATATATTTAATTCTATACCCTTTTCTCTTTCCTTTCTAGGTAAGCACTTCAGAAAGAGTCTGCATGCTCTGTCCCCTCTCCGTTAGCTCCCTCTCATGCTTCATACGGCTCCAGTCGAACTTCACTACCTAGTATTCCACTGAAATGCTCTTGCAAAGGTCACCTATGTCTTCAAAACTGCTAAAGCCAATGGACTTTTTCACCTTATTTGACCTCATTGTTGTATTTGATACTACAGCTCCCTCCCTTCTTGGAATATGTCCTTTTCTTGAAGTCCAAGGTGGAATTCTCTCCTGATTCTCTTTCTCCCTTCTGACCATTCCTTCTGAAACTCTTCTGTTGTTCCTGTTTTCCCAGCCATGTAAACATTGCTAATTCCTAAGGTCTTTCTACTTACTGCCTTCTTCTCATACATATGTTCTCCGGAAACATGCACCTTCTCCCGTGGCTTTAACTACCACCCATATGGAGGAAAATCTAATCCATTTCTTATACAATCCTTTCCCTGGATCTGTAAGTGCATATAGCCAACTGCTTACTGGCTTTATGTTGAGGGGTATCTATCTTAACATCCCTATTGACACCTCGAATTTATTTTTCTGGTCAGGAAGCATAATGGTCCACTGACCCAGAGAGACACTACCTTTATTTTCCAAAATTGTTTGCTGTACTAACATCCTTGGAAAAGGTAATCTGAGAAGTGTAGCTAAAAATGCCATCAAGAACTGTCTCCCAACAATAACCTATTTTCACCAATTGCTGATGGTGGAATCAATGAGTTTAATTGTGGTATTACTACAATAAAGATAATTTCTCCCTCGTGGATAAAGGTTCAGTAGCTTTGCTAGTGGCCCCTTGAAAAGATTGGGGGCTTCCTTTGCACAGAGGTCCTTGGCTCTGACAGACTTCTGTATGCTTAGCATTCGCTTGGTCTGCTCCCCATCGTCCATAACACCAGGGGAATCAGAGGAGCTGATGCCAACGTGAAGCTTATCTGCCTGCTGTGCCGTGAGTAAGCAACTGTCTAAGTGCATTTGACTCATTGTTTCCTTATCAACTATTCATGGGAGTGTGGCCAATAAGCCTAGCAGTCGCAGTAGTCGCTGACACTTAGCAACTGCTTGGCCACATGACAGCTATATCCTTAGAGAAGCAAGGAGGAAATGGCCAAGATATTGCATAAAAACTTTGGCATTGCGTTAGAAGTTGGAGTTGGAAACGTCTGGGCAGAGTTAAGCCTAAGGACCTCAGCTGGAGGCTGGTCAGGAGCAGAGGGAGCAGACTCTAGAGAAGTTTGGGAACTTCAATCCCTGAGGAAGTCACTAAGAATCTATCTTAAAAGCACAGCAGAAATCTGTCTGTAATGTGTGAACCACAGAGCCCAGACTCACATTCCCAAGTCAAAAACTTGGAGTTATTTTAAACTCTTGTCTTCCTATTATCTTCTCTCCTAACCTCCCACATCAAGCTGATAACCAAGTCCTGTCGATTCTATCTCTATAACATCTCTCATTTATGTCCCTTCATCATCATCTGACTTTTTGGCTCCAGTTCAAGCTGTTATGGCTTCGCACCTGGGCTCTTGCTGTAGTCACCTAACCCATCTCTTGGCCTCAAGTCTTGCTTTCTTCAATTTGTCATCCAGGCTGCTGCTAACCTGATCACATCAGTCCCCTAAAACTCTTTAGGGGGTCCTGGCTGTCTACGATCCATGCTGAAATACGGCAGAGACAGACCAACACAATCTGGCTTCTACCTTTATCTCTAACCTTATCTCTCTGCCCTCCTCCAGCACCCTCATGTACCAGTCACATTGAAACGTCTCCCGAAACCCAAGCCCTCTCACACCTCCAGGACCTTCTCATGCTGCTTCCTCTGCTGAAAATGCCCTTTCTCCTGCTCCTGGTGACCATTTTACTCAGTTTCAAATCTGACCTCCTCTATGAAGCTTTCCCCCATGCATTGGGGCCCAGACTGTGTTGTTTACACAATTCAATCATAGCTTTATAGGCTTTATTATATTTATGTGTTTCCATGTTGATTCTCTCCCCAACTAGATTACTAGATAATTGAAGAATCTGCCTTCTGTCTCCCTAGCACCTTGCAGAGTGCTGAAAACACGGTAAGCACAAAACAAACAAACAAGCAAACCAAAACTGGAAAAAAAACCAACACTTGCTAATGCTAAATACATGAATGAGTGAGTGGATAAAAACCCTGTTTGCTGCCTTAGAGTCCTGCTGGGTCTGCTGGACGGAACAGATTGAACATGGCACCTCATCCTATTGCACTGATTTTACATAATGGTACATCATTTAAAACATGTTAAATTTAAAAAAGCAAGGGCTTAGTAGAAATCATAGTAAAAGCGTTGCATTAATATGGAAGGTAAAGTGTTCAAAGAAAGTTCAAACATGATTTGGACCACTTTGAGCTGAGGCCTAGACTTCCCTGAGGCAGATAAATTTAATGTTTGTGTTCTCTAGCACCGGGGGTACTTTATTGCACAAGTTTCAGTAATAATGTTAGAGTATTGTATTTATTTTAAGTAATAAAAGGAACTCATGATACAGATATCGCAGGCTAGGAGGAGGCAAGGAGTCCGTATAAGAGGTATGAGTCACCTAAGCTAATAATATATTGTAGGAAGGTCTAGGTCTACACCCAAAGTGGATTCTGTGATAATTCTTTGAGAGAGAAAGAGAGAGAGAGAGAGAGAGAGAGAGAGAGAGAGAGAGAGAGAGAGAGAGAGAGATATTCACCATAGAATTCTTTAAACATCAAATTCTATGGAATTTAAAATATAGCTCATATTATAAACATATGATTCCCTCAACTTTTTATAAGTATGAACATTTTTATATCCCTGGCTTTCAGATCAAGTTTAGAGTCAATTCAGGGACCTAAGTTTGTACTGGGAACTCTGCCTTTTCCCGGACTCTTGCTTCTAAGCTGTAGATAATAGTCGCACAAGCTAGGGAAGAAGTTGAGCCCTAAAGTTTCTGTAAATTCTAAATTGAAATAGAGACTAGGTAAATTTTAAAAATAGCTGACCCTTATTTGTACAACACAAAGTAATTTTAAGAAAACATTATCAACGTTCATCTACTTCAGAAATTTTTAAATGTCCTTTTTGCTAAAGGAAAAAACTGTCCAAACAAATTTAGCTACATTAGACCAACTGTGGATTCTCTTAGAATCCATTTGGAGATACATTTGTGTGGAGGTGTACATGTGCATATATTTTATGTGTGTATGTCAGTAATTACGTATATCTAGCAAATAACTTTGCTCTTTAGGACACTTCTTGAACCACTAGTAAATAACTAAGTGGCCACAAGAGTTAGAAAACAAAAGCAATCCAAAAACAGAGGGTGGAGGCCACTGAAAAATTATAAGTTGCTCAAAAGACTATCTTGGGCCGACACAAGAGGAAAATTTGAGAACATTTTCTTAAAAAGAAATAAATAAAAGGGAACAGAGCATGCAACTTCAGAGCTCAACGTGTGCCTAATCTCTATGGGTGGGATTTTTTCATTCCAACACGTAGCTCCCAGGACAAGCACAACAGCAACCCCTAAATCACGTTCACCCTCTGAGGATAATATGTAATGAACACAGCCTTCCTTAAGGAGACATGTGGTCAGGGCAAAACACAGTGTAGTTCTCCCAGCCTGCAAATCCAAAATGTTTACACAGATAATATCGAGTGCAAATGGGCAGTAAGGACCACCTTGCTGGGGAAAAGAAAGGATGCAGACGTACCAAGGGGACATGTGACTTAGGGAACGTGGAAGGTGTAAAGGGACTCTCATAACTGCTTGGAAATGGCACGGACTTTATGTGGGGTTCATTTTCTTTTTCACCAGGTGGGAGGCACCACCTGCTTTGGCCCCCACCATTACCTCACTGAGGAAATTCAGGTGCCTCATCCTCACAGCGTCAGCATATGTGGCCACCACATTGCTGAGTCCCTGCTATGGCAATGTCAGAAACTATTTTTGTGGACAACATGGCATGTGAAGGACACCTTAGATTTCTATTCATTTCCATTCTGTATCTTTGGGTGACAAATCTATTATAACCTGACGCATACAGATAGAGTAGACAATGTTGTCTTTGAAAAAGAGTATTTAAATGTCTAGAACATCAGTCTTTTGTAGATTGCCTTACCTCCTTTTTATTTTTTTATATGCATAGCAAAGTAATTTCTGAACCAAAAAGAAGGGAGACAACATTATTACTAGTATGCTCCACCTTAGAGAAAAGACAAAGAACTGATAGAAACCTCCACTCCCCACCATGAGGTGTTTATAGCAGCCATTCTGTAGTTTTCTGGCAATCCTCCCCATGTGGTATGTATTTGAAGCTGTAAGGTGCAAGTGCTGGATAAAACCCAGCTCTTTTCTCAGTGAAATGACCTGTTATTCTGCAGAAGGAAAGGAGGTGTTTCTCTGAGACCACCATTACACCTGCTATGCTTTACTGAAATTCAAACCACCCCCACCGCCCTACTCCATCTCTTACACCTGAGAGCCGGCGAACAAACACATGATTGGGTCAGGGGTGGGGGAAGGGTTAAAATATAACCACTTTGGTTCCTGGGTAAATAACTCTTGCAAATGTCTATGGTTTTCTGTGTGTAATGAATTTGGGTCTGCGTATATGGTAGAAGTATCCAATCACTTATGCTTTAATTCACACACACACACACACATACACACACACACACACACACACACACACACACACACACAATTTTAAGATATTTGGCAAGGCATTTTGTTTTTAACATTAGTGAAATGCAGCCTAACAGTGTTCTTACTGTAGTCCTGCCTGAAAGTGATCGCTTTTCTGTACTTTTCCTATGACAAATTTATTTTCCCTATATGCTTTTGTTGGCTAGCAGCTCTGGCATGACTTGACTGACAATGAGCCAGGAGATCTGAGTTTGAAGAAAACGTATGGCTCTCAAACCTTGGCACATGGTAGATAAGCACAGAGCAAATGCAATGTATTCAAGCAGAACCCTATGTGTTGGCCGCATCAGCTGACCAAAGAACAGCACAGCCATCAGATGAAAATGACATAGCCCACCACCTTGGGGATAGAAACCCAGTTAAAAAAAATACATACATATATATATATATATATACATATATATATATATACATACATATATATATACACGTATGCATATATTAACTTTTAATGTTATAACAATGAAACATTGCAAAAGCTTCCATTAGCTTTGTTGGCTAAGCCGTGGCTCACATGTTACAGGTTTTATTTAGTTCACATAATTGCCGTCCTACAAGACTTCAGAAAGTTTCCCTCTGATGATTTACCTTTTGTCTATGAAGTGGAAGGGGAGACTGTCAGCTCAGAATGAGGATGGAAGGGACAAGGGTTGAAAGATATTATCCTAAACCACGAAGGTATTTTATGAAGGTATCTTAACAGCAAACGCTTCAAAGAAGAACATACATGTGATCTCAACTGGCAATCTAATTAGGGCATTAGCATTGAAAATTAATCTTTTAATCTAATACTCCAGCATTTAGTCAGAGGCAATGAAGAAAAGACTTACACACAACATAATAGGTGATATCAAGGTATGTAAGCACATACTACCTAGAAAAGGGATCCAAAGATTTCCAGTTCAATTAACAAAAGTGTGCACAGGCACGCACATATACACAAGTGAATTGTTTTTGTTTTTTTCTGTGTATGTTTACTCTCACTCTAACAAAAAGCTGTCTTCACCAGCATCTGCGTAGTTTTATTCCAGAGATGAACGGATCTGACATGTGGCACGTGACTAAGCCCATCACTACCCCAATAAAGCAATGATTTGCAAAACTTTTCTGGACCACAATTGTGTGAGAATAGCTAAATGCTAAAAGTTCCTTCACAGAAAAACATACATACTAGTACACACAAAATTTTACACAAAATTTCAGAGAGTTCATAAGCCTCCATAAAACCTATTGCATCAGTTAGGTATTACTGACCACATAACAAACCAGCCCAAATGTAAAAGCTTAAGTCAACACTCTTTACCTGAAAATTCTCTGGCTCAACAATTTAGGCTAGGCTCAACTGAACAATTCTCTTGGTCTTATCTGGGTTCCCCGCTACCTCTTGGGCGAGCCATACATCAATCATGGGTGATGCTTTTCTGGGCACTAGCTCCTGCAGGCTGGGATACCGTGGCTCATTTTCATGCAGTCTATCATCCTCAGGCAAATTGCTGAGACCTATTCTCATGGTAGAGACAGATGTTTCAAGAGAAAGTTGAAAGGCTAAAAATCTCTTAAGGCCTGATCTCATAATTGCTGCTACTGCCTCATTCTTTTGACAAAAGCAAGTAACAAGGTCAGCCCAGATTCAAGGGGCTGGAAAATATACTGTACCTCTTGATGTAAGATGTTATCATCATATCACAATGGGTACTATTACAGGTAGGGATAGAGAATTGGGACCAAAATTTCAATCAATTTACCATACCCATCATGAGCCTAGGCTAGCAATTTTCTGCAGTGAAAATGTAGAAATAGGCATTAAAAGAAAAAGCAAGAGCTTGTTTTTACTGAGGTATACAAGTACAAAAAATTAATAACTGCTTGCCATTCCAGAAAGTGTCCTCGTGTCAAGGTAGAGCCAAAAGAATACTCGTGGCAAGCAACAAGTCTTCAATGTTTTGTTTTGTTTTGTTTTTCTGAAAGGTAATACGTTAAAAAATAAATGTGCTTTATATAACTGAAAGTTCTCACTTTGTTATTGAAGCAGGACATCATGGATTGTACATATATTTAGTGGAGTGAATGTTAGCAATATTGATGAACTAGCCGAGGAAAGTGACACTGTATATTCTAAATGTCTGTGTCGGTTTTTATACCCAACTGTGTTGAAGTGGTAGAGGATTCCAAGTCTTTCCATGTATTGTCATTCTTTGGGAAACCTCCAGTAAATAATACTAACATTTCCTACTAAACCAGAATCCTAGAAATCAGTATTTCCATAAAGCGTAGGAAAGCTTCAAGACAATAAAAACTCCAAACAGCAAATATTGAACTCATAATGTACCTTGAGTGTATGATGATTGATCCGGTGGTTGTCGTAGCACCATAAAAAATCAGCTGTCAATAGGTTTCAGTTGGCCATATTTTCTTCCTCCTAAAAAAACAGCAAAAAAATAACTGACTGTTGGAAATTCAGTAAATATTGAAAATAGTTGACCGAATTTAGCAAAATGCAAGTACTATACTCAGGTGCACTTAGTTTACATCAAATCTGACTTTGCCATTACCAAAGGGTATATATGTCCAGTTAAAGAGATCTTCTTTGATATTCCAATACTCTAATTCTTCTTACATACATATATTTTTCTAATTACAAGAGAATTGAGGTAATGGCTGAATCTACTTGTATGAATCCTCCAACTCATCTCAACTCCCTCTGTAATTCTGTATTGGCTTCCTGTTGCTGCTGTAACAAATTACGATAAATTTAGTGGCTTAAAAACCCCACAAATTTATTATCTTACCGTTCTGGAGGTCAGATGTCTGAAATGGGTTTCACTGGGTTAAAATCAAAGTGTCAACAGGTTGCATTTTTTCTGGAGACTCTAAGCGAGACTCCCTTTTCTTGCCTATAAGCTTGTACAGGCTGCCTGCATTCCTTGGCTTGCAGTCTCCTTCCACCTTCAGAGCCAGCAATGGCTGGTTGGGTCTTTCTCACATCATACCACTCTAACACAGGTTCTTCTTCTACTGCCCACTTTCACTTTTAAGAACCCAAGTGATTACATCAAACCCACTGGACAACCCAGGATAATCTCTCTAGTTTAAGATTAGTGGTTTAGGAATCTTGAATTTGTCTTCTACCTTAATTCTCTTTGCCACATATATATTCACAGGTTCCAGAGATTAGGACTTGGGTATCTTTGGGGGCCATAATTCTGCCTCCTTGTTTTCTCAGGCTCCATTAGATATCTATGCCTAACAGTGTGAACCAATTCTTCCCATGAGAGGCTTTGCAGCACGTGCTTATGATAGCAAGGAGAGTTTCTTTATGACAGCAAATTGCATCTTCCCAATACAAATTCTAGATATATTAACTATATCATCATTAAAATCTTTAAAAAAATGTATCATGGCTTTTCAATTATAAGAAGGGTCATTTGAAAGTATAATTGGGATATTTTATATATGATTGGTAAACTATACCCAGAGCCAATTCAATGCATCATGCTTCATTATTGCTAGATTCCTTGACTTATACAAACCCTCTACAAGCCCACTTCATGTTTTCGCCCCTTTCTTTATCGGCAAAGTGCATGATAGTAACGGCTGCATATTTTCAGCTAGTGATCAATGTCTTAGTTTAATTTTTTTCAAATTACTAAATAAAGATAAGCAAAATTAGTCTTTGTTCTCAGCTTACAACAAACTGGTACAAAAGTGATTCTGCTCATTTGAAAGCAGACATAAGGATTATTTATACCGTGTAATCTAATTCTTCCTCCTTTTAGAGAACAGCAAGCATGGTCTAGTCCAATATATAACAAGACTTGGCAAGATAAAGGCAGGAGCTCTAAGGCCAGAGCAAAAGGAGGAATTAATTAGAAAATAAGAAATGAGAAAAGAAAAAAATTTAAAAAGGAGAGCATAGCAATAGTGAATAAATGAAAGGAAGAATTAATTTCCTTGGGATTTAAACAGTGGTTATATAGTGCCTGCCTTCTTTTTACACTATGTATGACTTAATTGAAAATATTGGTATAAAATAGCATAATGTGGTTATTGAAAGAAAGGAAGTATGAGAATAAATTAATGCTGACTTGAAAGTAGAGTCATTATGTAAAGCAACAGGTTTTTGTTTTGTTTTTCTTGCTGATATTCCATTAGAAAAATTATGTCTCCATTAAGAAATGTTCACTCGAGGGCTGGCCAAGTGGCGCGTTGGTTAAGAGTTGGCTTGGGATGCCAGCTCTGAGCAGCAGGGCCCCGGTTCAGATCCCATATTAGGGCCAGTGATGCTGCACCCTCTACAGCTAAGATGGTGAACAACAGCTGGACCTGGAGCTGGGCTGCCGTGAGTTGCCAGCAACAGCGTAGGCTGCAGTGGGGCCGCAGTGGGTTGTCATGGGCTACTGTGAGTGGCCGGCAGCCAGGGTGAGCAGCCGGCAGCCAGTGTGAGCTGCCAAGAGCCACCGTGAGCGGCCATCCAGGGGCCGGTGACCGATCTGCCTCACCTGGGAAGAGCGCAATGATTATACCAACATGGGCCAGTGAAGCAACGTCCTCCACAACTAGACTGAAAAACAAAAGGACAGCAACTTGTCTGTTCCCCTTCCCCGATTCCCCAATAAAATCTTAAAAAAAAAAAAAGAAAGAAAAAGAAATGTTCACTCAAAAATGATGTGGCAATTTTCAGCCATTCCCATTACAAGTAGAAATTTGGGAGGAAAAAATAAAATGATCATGAGCTGTGGACACTAACTATATTTATATAAATCATGGGTGGTCTTCTAGTTTATTCAGTTGTCTTCTCTTCAAGATAATTCTGATCAAAGAGGATAACTTTCCATCTACACTGAAATGAACCATTTGAATTTCCCCATTCATGTCTCCTTTCATCCCACCGCTTTCACCTGGAATATCTGTCCCACTTTTTCCTCAAAATAATTCCTACTCCATGTTTAATCCTGAATTTAGGCATAACTTTATCTGAGAAGCACGCCCGGGCAGCACCCCTCCTATAATGGTGTGCTCCCTTTAATCACTATATTTGGCATATTGTAGTAGAAATAACTGTTCACTTGTCTTCCTCCCCCCCATGCCCAAATCAGTCTTCCTGCTCCTTGAATGCTAGGTCCCTAGTATTTTCATCATTGTACTCTCAATGTCTGACACTTAGTGAGTGATCAGTAATTGTTTGTTGAATAAATAGGTAAATAGACAATAAATACATGAAGGAAGAATGAGAGGGAGGGATGAAAGAAGTCTGGGAGGGAAGATGCTTAACCATGCCCAACCATAAAGGTTTTCTGCATCTATGAGAGAAGTGGTGAGAAGTGCCACCTCTCACCATGCAAGATTTCTAAAAAGGGCATTGATTGACAGACCTTGGCCATTCTCAGTACACTCCACTTCACAAAATAGCACAGACTGAACAGTGCTCTCCTGTGTAATTCAAGAATGATTCCGCTTAATCACTAGCAAGCAACCAGTGTGACTGTATGAAGAAGAAATTTTGGAAGACTTAATTAAATTGCTTCTACCAAAGAGAGATGGAGTAAGTAGAGATGTAATCTCTCCTGATTGTGATAAGGCATTTTGATTGTTTCACAAAACAAAGTTAAAGACATTTAGAAAAGTAGGTTTGGGGCCACATGTATATATAAGAAGGTAAAGACTGATACGGGGGTTGTAATCAAAGGGCGTTATCAGTGATACAATATCAATTTGGAAAAACCTTCCAAGCTGTGTTTCATAGGGAAAAGCCTTACATTTCTTATCTTTACTAGTGTTCAGAAAATATGCAGCTGTTTGTGTTCTATTAAAAATGAATTTCAGATGACTTTGATGAAATGGGTAAATTTCCTATAAAATGAGATGGAAAATGTAGAGACAAAAATACATATATATATTTTAAAAACTAAAATAACTAATTCATATGCAGAATAACATACAATTGACAAGTAAACGTTAAGTACAAAAGAAAACAACTGGGAGATAAAGGGGCAAGACTGGATTTGACCGTGAGCAGAATAAGTTAGCAACATAATGCCCACCAGTCGTTCTCGCCTGGGGATGATGTAGCCACACAGGGCATATTTGGCAGGTCTGGAGATGTTTTTGACAATCATGATTGGGGAGGGTGCTACTAGCATCTAGCGGATAGAAGCCAAGGATACTACTATACATCATACACATAACAAAAGCTCTCCACAACAAAGAATTATCGTCTAAATTTTCAATAGTGCTGCAGGTGAGAAACAAACAAGTGAAAACTTAAATGATATGGGAATATATTAAAATGAATGATGATAGGCATGCAAATTTTCCCCTCAACAATATTCTGTACCAAATCCTGATTAGAATATTGTGTCCTGTTGAGGATATTACCCTTTAGGAAGTGTAGGCTGTGAATGATTGGAAATAGATTCTATGATGATTGCCCACGTCTTGCTCTTCTGCTTATGCAAAGAACATTATGTTAATACTCTGTCTCCCACCTATTTAGCAGATCTGAAAATAAATCATGCCTGTTTTGAAGACAAGTTCTGCATCTTGGGTTAACATCAAGAAAATCTAAGATTCCTGGATAAAAATGCTCACATAAACTGTCTCATAGACTAAAAAACTGTCTCATAAACAGACTAAAAAAGAAAGCTGAGTTAAGATTAAGTTGAATGTTCTGGAGAATAAAGAAGTCAGGCCTCAATTATGTGCTAAAAGAAAATCTCTAAAAGTTAAAACACAGAAAAATATCAAATATACTGAAAATACAAATACCACAAAACTCTAAATGAATCAGCCAAAAATCTTACATTACCAACATCAAACTATCCCAAAGGCTTAACATGTTTTAATAATATGCATTTTATAGTTAGAAATGTGGTAAAAATGAAGAATGAGGGATTCTGAAGCAAAATAAACAAATCTTCAAGTCACTTTAGAGT